TTTTTTTTTTTTTTTTTTTTTTCTTTTTGGGATTTATCACAATTGTACTTGAAAATCACAATTTGTTTAAGGCCTGATTTTTCTACATGTAAGCTTACCTGGGCATTGGGGAGGGCACTATCTGGTTTGCTCACCTCTGTAACCTCAGAGAAATCTCTATGAATAATGTATGACTCTGGAAACAAATGGTCCTGAGGAACCAGCTTACTTATCCTCCAGTGTCCCACTATCTATCCAAGGGCTTAAACTAGAAACATATGGGTCATCCTGATTCCTTCTTCTCCTTCACTCCATATAGCAAATCAATTCCCAAATCTTATCCATTCTACCCATTAAATATCTTGCCTACCCATCTCTTCCCATTTCTAGCTTTACAGTCCAAGCCACTGTCATTAATAATTTATATAATTGCAGCAAGCTACTAAATTGTGTTGTCTCTAGAATTTTTCTCTTTCATACATTAAGTCCACACTGAATTCATGAATGAATTTTGAAAAGCACAAATCTAATCATGTCACTCTGAAACACAAAGCCTCATTATTTAAGACAAAAATTTAACTTCTTTATCATGGGTTACACGGCTATCTAAACTTGGCCACAATGTAGCTCTCCAAACCTACCAGCAGCCACCTCTCCTGCATTCTCTACTGCAACTATTGTACAGTTCTTAGGTGCCTTAAACTTACCATAATCTTACCTCTATAGAAAAGATTTCCTTCAGGTCTCAATGTTACCTAGTTGGGATTTCCCCTCCAGCCCTCAAGCTAGGTAAGTGGCTTCCTTTCCATAGCATCACAATAGCCTACTCTTCCACATTTTAACCTATATCACTCATACAATTTCTTTTTCCAGATTTGACTCCCTGAAGACTATGATACTGTTCAACACTCTATCTCCAGTGCCTGGACCAATGCTTAGGCCAAATTTGCTCTCAATAAATGTTGGCAAAACCAGTGAGCAACTGAGTTGATAAACATATGGGTGAAAAGCTGGAGTGATACACGGTATGATTTCAGTTATGAAGAAAATTATAAACAGAAAAGAGATTCAGATCCAGGGTCTTGGAGCTGTTTTCTATTTCTAGACAAAGAACCCATTAAAAAGATAGAGAGTAAACCCTTGTGGTAAGGAGGCCCCATTTCTCCAGGCATACCTCTTCCCTTCCCTCTTTCACAGAGCCAAAAAGTAAATATCCACTTGTTTTCCAAGGATAGGATTATCCACAGACTGTACTCTTATCACACCAAATTGTTGTAAAAATAACCAAAGGTTTTTGTCATAACTCTGGGCATTTTCTTGTCTTAGATTATGACCTCGAAAAATGCTTTGCAAAAACAGATCTCTAGCACCACAGGCAGAAGGAAATTAGTGGGGTGAGCAATTCCAAATGATGTTCCAACAGAGGTCTTATTCCCAAGCCCTAGATAGAGATTACTAGTTCCATAAGAAATAGTACTGCATTAAATCCAAATGCAAAAATATATTTAGAGCCAAAGAGCTTGTCCTTTTTGGGTGTCCACTCCACATTTGCTGATGGCAGGCAGATAATGCCATAATGAGATACATGCACTACAATTGATCATTTATGACTAACAGCGAGTTGCAGATAAGCCTTAGGATGAAGATGCACTGGGAAGTGTTTCATTAGGGTTTTGTTTTGACTTTATTTTTCTGTTTTCAAGGTTCCTTTTGGTTATTAAAGATAATATGTAGTAGAAAGCCCCAGAGTCAGAAAAAAGTTTAATAACTTTACATTACTTAAAATCTAGGTTCTGTTTCCTACTAGATAGAATCCCCATTTTTTTCATTTGTAAAACTGGTGATATTAATATACACATCTCCAGGATATAGTAGGCTGCTGTAGTGAGAACCAAGTGAGATGATCAAATTGTGCCCATAAGAACTATCAACCCCAGGGGAAGAATGGAGTAACTGTTGCTTTTCATCCCCTTCTACACTCAGTAATCAGGGAACCTAGGACACCAGATCCACTGAGAAGTGACAGCCAAGAATTTGAGAAATAATTTTTCATAATGGAATCACAGCTAGTATATTAAAACACGAGTCAACACTTTCCTCTCCTATTGTCTTTTATAGTATCCACTTTTTCTGATGCTGGTTGCAGGTCCACAGGTGCTTGGTTCACTTCTCTTACCCTTGCTGAAGAACCATTTGAGATGGCCAAGCTCAGGAAAGGAACTGGCTCAGAGCATGGGCTCTGGGCCTGCACTGTTGTGGCAGAACGCAAGTGGGAGTGCTCTGGATGCTTTGGGTTTACTCACAGGCCTGAAACAGGGTCCTGCTGGAGATAAGGCAGGGCTTTGGCATTAGCAATGATCTCCTGAGGCAGTGATGAGGGCTCCATGCGCTGGAACATGGGTGCATTTTTCTGTGTCAAGACAAAGAATTCCCATAACTTTGTGGGGAACTGCTATGGGAAATCCAATTTACACGAGCAGCATGGGAGCATGATTGATTCCTCATTGATTATTTTAACCTTTAGTCCACTCGGTTTCTAATCCCACAGCACTAGCAATTTCTTGGACCCTGTGCCATCTCCCACCCTCAAGGGGTACTAGGCCCTAGTGATGCAGACAGCCTGTCCTCCCAGGAACCCATGTGACTGCTCATGAGCTACCTACCAAGCCTGCTGCCATCGGTCCTCACCTGTTCTTCCAGCTGCTGCCTCTGCTTTTTCACCTTACTCTGTTTATAGTAGTCCATTATCATCATTGCTGCATAGATTTTGCCCACAGTCAGGTCAGAGGCTAAAAACAAAATGAGGCATGGTGATAAGCAAAGGAGCATACAGAAGCGTAAGCCTTCTTACCCTCTGAAGTAGCTCTGCACTTGAAGCCACTCATTCATTCAGCGCTTACTGAGGCGCTGAGGACATGACATGAATATATCCACCCAATGATGGCAGTGCTAACAATACTGATAAGAAATGCATTGTAAGCATCACCTCCCAGCACTCTAAATACCCACATCTAGGGAGCAATACCTTTTACCCATTGTCTGAGGGTTTACTGAACAGTCTTATGTGAAGGGAAGGAGCTATGGACCCAGAACGTTTCATCCACACCCACAATGAATCGTCTTAAGAAACTAATTTCAATTATTCTGACAAAAGTCTTTGGAAGTACGGTGCTTCATTTTCTTTTTTCTTTTTTTCTCTCTCTCTCTCTCTTTTTTTGTCTTTTTAAGACAGGGTCTCCCTGGAACTCCCTATGTAGACCAGGCTGGCCTTGAACTCACAGAGATCTACCTGCCTCTGCCTCCCAGGTGCTGGGATTAAAGGCATGTACTACCACACCCAGCTAGGGAGCTTCATTTTCTAAGGGTAAGGGAGGCACCTTCCCTTATCGCCATGATCATGCTGGTTTCCCTAAACGATGTTGCCTTGGCATATTAGGTCACAATGACAAGGAAACATGGGAGGAAGAGGCCCCCCACACCTTTGGGCATGGGTACAAGCAGATCCAGCATCTTCTGGGACAGGTGAGGCCAAATGGCCAGGGTCTCTTTTTGTAGCTCTGAGTCTAGCTGCTGTCTGTCTGCACCACCTAGAATAAGAGAAATTATTAATAAGCCAATCAGAACAGACAGAGAAATAACAAGGACCGAGGGAGTAGGTGGGGGTAGGAGCTGAATCAGCATGGCACCTCAGCTTCTGAGAGGAATCTTAGCACTGTAGAGGAAGCAGGACACACTTTGGCTCCCATTTTCAGTGACTCAGGCATATTCTGCCACAGAGGCTGAGGCTGAGGCTCTGAGACCAACATCAACTCCCTCATTGATTCTAATAGCATCCCATTCTGCATGAGTTACAGCATCCCAGGTGCTCAGTACATCAGAGGGCAGAATGCAAAGAGCCACAAGGAAGCCTCTTGTCTCGTTATGCGTGTCTTTCTTCTGATGACCCCAACTGTACAGTCTAAGTGACCTAATTTTAAAAATGGCAGAAAAGGCAGGCTAAAGGTCTTCATGGAGGTCATAGGCCATTTCTCTCCTAGACCACTGAATTAGTAATCAAGGTGGGCAAAGCACTGCAGCATCCACTATGATGGCACCTGCTACAGAAGCTTTCCCAGACTTTAAAGATGGTATATGGGAAGAATGACAGAATTAAAATTATAAGTTCAATAAACTATATTTCTAGAATGCTATCACACGTCAGACACCAAACCTTAAATCATTTATTTTACCAGAGAAAAGGGAAAGTCTTAAACTTATTAGGTCTTAGAGGTGAAATCAGAACCTTGACATTCAGCCTTCAGGTCACTGCATTATTGGGTCCAAGGCTGGAACAACAGCTCAGATGGCTTCATTCTATACCAGTCTGCATGAGTTACAGACTCTTCCCAACCCTCCTTCCTTCTTTTGCTCATCTGACCTTTGGCAATTTTAATGTCCAGAGCTGTCCGAATCAGAGCCATAAGTGTGGAGGTGAAGTGGACTGTCATGTCCTCAGCTACTGGCATATTCATCAGGACCAACCTCTGTGTGAAAGAGCAAAGAGAAACAGCAGGCAAAAAATATATTGAAAGACACCTTGGTCTTAAAAAAAAAAAAAGGAAGAAAAGTGCAGAGGTCAAGTGCAGAGACAAAAAGGAAGGGCAAGGATTCCCCACCCCCTGTACCAGATCTATTGGCTCTACATCTTACTCAAAGCTCATTTGCTGTTGATTTTTCTAAAGAATGATGCCAAATTCCAAGGAAAGGAGTTCTCTAATCATTCTGTAGAACACCCCCATGGGGAATGTTAAGAATATCTTCCATAGGGATGGGAAATGATTTCAAAAGAAGTGGCTGGGGAAAGGAGTCAGCTCTGGGAGGGGCTCCATTCCCTGCTCCGAGGCTGCTTCATTTTTCCACTTGCCCCATCAATACCCCATCAATACCACCCTCAGTGGAAAGATAGGGAGAGAATTGGCTTTGTTTATCTCACTTGAAAGACATTATCCTGGTGCCCCCTTTTTGAGTCTTTAAAAGATGGAATTTGTGAGCACATGATTGAACATGCAGAAGTCCAACTTATCCAACAGGTGAGGAGGAACAGGATGGACAGGGGAGAGTGCAAACAGGCTCTGGGGAAAGGAGGATGGGGAAAGCAAACAGAGAGATAAGGGCCAGGCAGGGGCAGAGTGGGCAGGCCCTGTTCCCCTCACCCAGAAGAAATCCAGCTGAAATGGCCAAATCCACTTTCCAGAGAGTATCTTGCTTTTAGAATTCTATAACTTGCCTCCCAATCCCCTCTTCCATTCTCCCACCAAGCTTCATGCCCAAAATTCAAAGAATTCAAGGCTATTTTCTGCCATGTGTTACTTATGGATGTAGCTGTCATGAGCAAATAAATAAACAAAATTTTTAAAAATTAAAAAATAAAAATACCACTCCCTTTGCTGTGCACAGGGAGCTGTGCACTGGGGTGGATGACAGTCTCTAACAGCCATGTTCCAGTGAGATGCTCTCTGGAGAAATACAACTTGGAGGGAGCAGAAGGGTCTCTGACAGAACCACAATCCTGATGGTAGTGGTTGGGGGTGGACATGTTCTTCACAAACTAGGGTTTCTAATACTCAATTGGAGCATCTTGCCTAAAATAACTCCACAGATGTATTGTCTTAGGTGGAAAGGCAGTTTCCTATTTGTATCTAAGTCCCATTTCTCTTGCTCCTGAAAACTTCCAGGGAAGCAGCAACATTACTACGATGTCTACTTAGGTGAATGAAAAGCTCCAGAGTTCTGGTTCAGTCTAAACACCACAAGGGAACTAACAGTAACTATTATTAATCGATGAAGAAAACTTCAGGACCCAAAGCTACAAGTCCCTAAATGGTAGGTGACTCCCAATGGATAATGCTGCTATAAGTAATCCATGAGGAATCTACTCCCAACTTCATCACGCTGAGAAGGCAAAGCTAATGCAGGACACAACCTGTGTCTGTCGTTGCCCTACCCTCTCCCTTGAACGTCTCCAAGGGCATTGGGTAGCTGGCCAAGAGGGGAAAGAAAGCTGAATTCCTGTCTATTCTGGGATTGAAGACATGCTCTTTTGTGTGTGTCCCTAGAAGGATCCTATGCATTGCTCCATCCTACATCACGGCGGGTGGGGTGGGGGAAATGTGTTAGTTTTCCTTTCTACTGAAAATGTCTTTTGGAACAATGGTTAGGAATTTCTGCATTCTTTCCCTAATTGATCTTACTTTCTTTTTTAGTAAGCTCTGATGGCTCTTTTGTTGTGGGTTTCCTTCTTGCCCATCCAGAATATTCCCCTGGCCACCACTCTGCCTCCTTTAAAAAGAAACACACCACTTAACAGCACCTTTCTAGTAATTCACTCACAAGAAGCCACACACGTGTAGAAACACAGAGTAACACAATAAAAGCTCCACAGTGAACAGTACTGGAAACCAGTCTTGTATCCTTTGTGACTACATCCTTCCATGAATGTTCCTGACTCTTCAGTCCTTCCTTCCCGCCTCCACCTCCCCAGCCCAGCTTCCTCCCATTTTCTGTCCTCCCCACATCTGGATCCCATTTCCTGCTGGTCAGTAGCCCGGAACAAAGGAAGGGGTTGTCTACCTTATAGGCCACTTTGGAGGGACATCTCTTGCCGAGGCCTAGCGGTGGTGACATGAGAGTCAGCATTTCATACATCTCAGTGTAATGGATGCGGCCACTGCTCATGGTGGGTGGTAAGTGGGGATGGGAGATGGGCAGGGCAGGAGGGGTGACAGGGAAAGGAGAAGGAAGCAGAGGGAAGGATGCAGAGAGGTAAGAGAGAACAGGCATTCCCAGAGAGCAAAAGAAAACAAGATACAGGAAACAAGAAAAACAAAAGAAAATGGACAAACAGGAAAAGAATAGGAAACCTGTTAATCAAGGCAAATCATACAAGTGACTCCATCCTGGTGCAGATTTATATCACGCCCCACACAGACCCGGGAACACCGGTGACAACCTCTGGTCCCTCTGACACCATCAGAGGGCGCTGATGGGGGCTCACTCTCTCTTCCTTGGCTAGCGCTGCCTTGACTTCATGATTCACTGCATCTACCCCCAGAGTAACACAAGTGTGTCTTCAATTCCCAGGGCTGTGCGTGAGCGGTATAAACCGGATAGACGGTGCTCCAGCCGTGGGTGGGAATTTCTGGCCCCCACTGGGCCTGGGATGCTAGCCTGGAAAGTCAGGTCTGTCACCTGCCGTGAACCCACAGGCAGAACATCGTGTATCCCCCTTCTGTGGTGTGTGTGCAGCAGGAGGCGGCGCTTGCATTGAAAGTGGTGGGCTGAGGTTGCTGGTCAGTAAGTCGGACCTGTTGCTTCCACCTGGCTCTGTGAACAAGAGTGCTCTTTATTCCCCAGCATGCACCAGGTCGATGGCATGCTGGGGACAGAAGAAACAAAACCAGGAGGAGGAAGAGCATCTTGCATGCCATGCTACCCTCCCCAGCTCTCCCACATGCGGCTGCAGGTTTCACTAGGGTGGAGTTTAAAGAGTCTTAGCAGAGGCAGCTGTTCAGCCTCCCGAGTTCACAATCAGTGTCACCATCCCAAGTCAGCTTCATCCATCGCCTAGGAAGACATCCTTTCTGAGCCTGGGTTGTCTTCTACCTGCCTGGGCAGTGCTATGCTTTCCTCCCGTAGCACCAGAAAAGGGTTCCCTATCTAGAAGCCATGGTCTTAGACAGGGTTCAGTAAAAAGATTGGGATACAGAGTACCCAGGGTATGGCAGAGTTAGAATGTATATCCCTCTGAATAATAGCTCCAGTCTAACCAAGAAGTAGTGACTTGGCAGTTATGACATCTTGTAGAGTTACAAGTCTATCTGTCAGGGCCCTAAGGCAAGGGCCCTTCAATGTCTACTGAGGCTGTTTCAGACTCTGCTGTGAAATTCTCCCACAGCCCCGAAATCTACGCTTTTTTAAACCTCTTTTCACCTGTTGCCCTAATTCTCTGTTGCTTCTCACCTCCTCTCTCTCCTATAGCTTCCATTGCCCCTCCTAGAAAAACCACCCAGGAGCTGTGAGGAACGGCAGAGACAGTGATGACTTGACGCTCACATTGACTCATCCCACATGGAACGATGATGAAGGGAAACTAGAACTCTGCTTGGTTAAAGGATTTCTGCATTCTCTGGAGAAGGGAGAGGTCCCTTGGTAAAACGTACAGGCTAAGGTAAATGAGATTGTGTACGTGTGTTCACACACACACCAGTACATGCAATTGAAAAAAGCAAGGAGCTAAAGTGACTATCATATTAAGTCAATTCTTTTCTGCTTTCACCATAAAATGTGCCCTTCCTCCTACAGAGCAGCTGCTGGTTCTGGGAGGGTTTGGACCTCTTTAAACTCAAAGGAAAGCAACATGAAGGTTCCCTCATGTGGTGCAGTGGTGGTGGAGCAGAGGGCGGAGAGGGTTAGATGCTGTATCCCACTGCAGGTCATGGCTGGGGACTGGGAGGCAAACCTTGCAAGCCACCCTGTAGGGGCAGTTCTCTCCCAGGCCCAGAGGAGGCGAGATCACCCGCACTAATTTGTACATATCCTTATACGGGATCCTGCCGCTGTAAAGAAAGCACAGGTGGGTTAATAAGATACTCAGAGAAGGGCGGGGAAGAATGACAGCTTCTTCCTGCATGGATGGCCTGGAACAGTTAAGAGGGGTTGCTTCTTTGGTGTCTAGCACAACCAGACCATGACAGTAAGTACCAGAGAACCATTGCCTTGCCAAACTACTGCCCAAATTTTAGCAGAAAAAGGACATCCAATGTCAAAAGGAACTGCCTAATGTCCCAAAGGACCCAGAAATCCCTATGTGTTCTACATCTGGCCTGAGTAGCTCCAGCCCCAGCTCTAGCTATGCTTCTAAAAGCAAAGATGGCCAATGTGCCTCTGACCACTGTCCACAGCAGATGCTAGCTTGCCAAGGCAAAACTCTGCTTTCACAACCACACTGATTACGGTCAGTAAGGGCCTGCCTGTCAGGGCAATGGGAAGTCAGTAGCTTTCTGTAGATTGTGAGAGACAAATTCTCATTAGGCTAATTAGTAAGGAGCACAGTTGGCATGAAAGAATATGCGAAGGGCTTTGAATCTCTTTGTGACAGATTTTTCCTGAGTTCATCTTGGGTATGCTCTGCTCCATTCCATGGGAACCTTCTGCTTTCCATGTCCAGAAAACAGTCTGGGGAGGTGCCCTGGAAACATTCCCCTGTAGCTCCATTCTTGCCACACTGGATCCAGGTTGAATCTGCCAGAATTCCAGGAACAGCATGAACTTTCTTAACCCTTTCTTCCAGGACCTTACTAGAGTGTTCTTGCTTCCCATGGAAGGGGCAAAGTAGACACATGATTAACTTTCAGTGGTTAAAACATCTTTGCTGTCAGGGGCCAGAATAAGGACGCCACAGTAAGATCTGAAGGTCTGGATGCACTCTGGAACAGATGGGGGTTCCCCCTGGAATCTTTAAGTACATTATCTCCATCTGAGCATCCTTGCCGGCAGCTGCATCAAAACTAGTGCTTCTCCAGCTTCGCTTTTTCTAGACTTTTCCTGACCTGGTGCTGATTTCTCCTGTTCTTCCACACAGCAGTTCATCAGTATGTTCAAGTCTCTTACCTCTTAGGAGGTTGAAAATAGCCGCGTGTCAATGTAGCTTTTCTTCCTAGTGAGATTAGCAAGTAGAGGCCTTACAAATGGCCATAGGCTAATGTCATGTATGACCTGTTAATAATTCTAATTCTTATGAAGACACTGACTTGTGGCACTTTTGTTGGTCTCCCCTCAATTCCCTTAATCCATTGAAGAAGCCAATTAAACTTTAACCAGAATAAATAATAACTCTCTAGACTTTCAAAGTGACAGCAGAGGTGCTCCTTGGTCTTTTCGCTCAGTTCATGTGACTGAGTCTTATGATTAGTCCTTATGGAGCTGTTTTTTCTCAGCAACTGCAATGAAGTAGGAGCACATTTAATAAACATGGCATTTGGATCCAAAGATCATGTGAAATTAAAAGAAGCTGTGGTTCCAAGAACCAAGGATGCCTGAGGCTGGATGAGCACTGCACTCCTTTGGTAGCAGATAGACCTCTTCAGTTTGGTGAATGACTAGGCATCCAATCTCATTAGGCCATCCATGCTTTACATGGTGATTTTCCTTACTTCCAAGTTGTATTCACATACAGTTGCTTCCATTTACAGTATCAGAAGCATGTATGATATAATAGCATGTTCACAACCACACTTCAGGTTATGTAGGTATTATTACCACCAACTGATAGATAGTTACAGCGGCTTGTCTAAAGCCACAGAACTGATAAGATTCAGGCCTGGCATCATTATTGTACAAGACACTGCTTGTTGTTTATTAGAACTTGAGTCCAGAAAGGAAAGACTGTTGCTCAGCCATTGTAACAGGGATGGATTTAGATAGCTCTGTGCCCTAGGTCATTGATTATTACAGAGGAAAAGAGAAATTTATTCAGCCCTGAAACAGTAACCCAAGTTTAATAGCTTCACAGGTGGGTGAATTTGGGGAAGAATCACATATTATGAATGAGGTTTCAGGTGGAAGCAACATGGCCCACTCCTGTGAAGGATGGCATTTCCTGTAGTATTTTTAGGGGGGCAGAATGGGTAGAATGGTGAGGGAGGCCCAGAAGCTGAGATGATCTGGGTCTGAAAAGTTTTTCATTCATACATTGTCTTCATGTCCTCGATTACAAAGGCCAAAATACTGCCTCTGTTTCTGAAGCAGGGGTCAATAAACTTTTTTTAACAGTATGGTTTTTGACAATATTGTGATAATAAATATTCTTTGAACATTAACATTTTATCTATTTTCCAAAGGTGTTTTCTTAATTAAAATTTGGAAATGTCATACAATATATTTTGACCCTATTTAGATCCCTTTCCCTGTCTACGCCCCTTACTACCACTCCCTGTGCATGAAATTTCATGAATTTGGATATATATATATATATATGCCTGTAGAGTCAAATCTGTGTCCCCAAATACCCCTTTAGTGTAGGTCCATGCACTGGAGCCTGGTTAAGCTACCAAGAATCTCACCTTTAAATGAGACTGACTGTCCCCACCCCATCAGTCCTTGGTGGCCAATACTTCCTCAGGTAGGGTAATCATTAACCCAAAATATTTTTTAATTATAGGGTCATATCATCTTAGTCATAACTATTCAGTTGCTCCCTGTGGTATGAAAGCAGCCATAGATAATGCATCAAATGAAGAGCTGTAACTGTACTCCAATAAAACCTTATTTGTAAAAACAGTGAGCCATAGTAGTAGCCTGCTGACCCCTGCTCTAAAACTCAGATGGCATTTTGTATCAGAAATGGGCAGTGAAAGACAGCAAAGACTTCACTCCTGCCAGTTCTTGGCAGTTAATTCAATTTCGTACAATAAAAACCCATACATGTTGAGGGGAACAGTCGGAAGAACTGCTTGCACGCTATTTTGAAATATACCAGAGTTGTAACCAACCATATATGCTGAGACAGATGAGGGGGACAAAACATTGATGTCACTAACTATGGTAGCCAGAAGTCCCATTGGCCCAGCAAATCCTTCTCTAAAGCTTCTGGTGACTCAAAGGAGCCCACTAACATTAGTGAAAAAAGAGGAGACTGTAAACTCCTCTGTGAATAAAGCCAAACAATCTGAGGTGTGACAAGAGTGGCAAAGAAGGGTACAGCCTGCCACAGAAGGAAAGAGAGGGCAGTGGAAGCCCAGGAGGAGAATTCTTTGGTGACAGGCTTGATACCAGAGCCTCTTCCATGAGCCACAACCAAAAGGAGTCGCCTTCCTTTTTGTAATAGGCAAGCATTTGGGTGGCCCCAATTCCAACCTCTTTTCTAGGCCCTCTAGTCACCCCTGATCTCTGGGTGGCCAAAAGGCCTACGCACCATGCTGCTCTGTCATATTCTGCCCAGACGCGGACAAACTCATCCAAGTGGTGAGGTCCCAGGATGGAGGAATCTCGAGTCAGGTACTCGAAGTTGTCCATGATTACAGCCACAAACAGGTTGAGCATCTGAAGGGCAAGGGAAGAAAAGGAGTTAGGAGAAACATAAGGCAGAGCTCAGGAAACAGACCAATAGGCTTCATGGCAAATGAAAGACTTTGGAAATTTGTTAGGCTCAAATTCCTAGCTAAAGCACATGTGGATCCTGCTGAATACAACTCGTTTTCATTTATTCATACTCCACATTTCATTGTGTGGGGATTATGATTTCATTTGTCTATGCCACTTCATATTTGCAAAATACTCCATTCGCTTTTATTACCTGTTTGATTTATTTGTTTTTGTGGAACCAGAGGGAGTAGTGGTTTCAACATTCTTAAAGGCTAGAGAAAGTCAAGGCCAGATAATAACTTTTTCTCTGAAGCCTCCTGCCCTTACCCTTGTGCCACGAAAAGGGCCCCAAAGAGAACTGTGGAAAGTCTCAACAGAGAGGGCACAGCTTACCTGTGAAAGCTACAAGTCGCCCATGCTCTGAAGCAGCTGCCAGCCCCCTGTTCTCTCACATGCTTGTTTAGCTAACCTTTACTGTGTACCTAGCATGCTCCAAGCACACTGGCTCGGGCACTGGGATGTGTGATTAGAAAGTGCTCATCCAGAGTGTCAAGCACAGCAGGCCTTCACCAGACCTTGTTATATGAATACTTTGAAAGACTTACAGAGTATTTAGAAAAGACAGTGACATATTAGAAACAGAAAAAGATTGCAAATCCCAACACCTGTGAAAACAGCACATGCAAGTGACAGTAGAGAGAGAGAGAAAAAGAGTATGAATACAATTTCTGCTGGCTAAAAAATAATTTTGACTTTTGAACTGAGTCTTGAGAAATAGGTCCTATTTACTAGATAATACAGGCATAGAACAGAGTGTCTTAGGCAGAGGAGACAGCATGAATGTGCACAGATTCATAAGAGCAATGACCTTCCAGGGGTCTATAAGGAGGGCAAAACAGCCAGGGCCAAGAGCCAGATCACAGAAGTATCTTGTCACCATGCTGCAAAGTCTAAACCAACTAGCCCGACATCACATCTTGAGGGCGTTGTGGGTTATTTTGCCTCTGTTGCAACTATTCAGCTCTGGTGTTGTAGCACCAAAACAGCCACAGACATTATAAATACCAATGAACATGGCTGAGATCCAAGAGAGCTTTGTTTACGGACACTGAAATTTGAATTTCATATCATTTCCACATGTCATAAATTATTATTCATCTTTTGTTTTTCTATCCCTCATTTAAGAATGAAAAAACAGAGTTACTTCATAGACCATACAAAAACAGTTGGCAAATCAGGTTGGCCCATGGATTGTAGTCTGCTGATGTACAGTATAGACTATTCTGAGGGCAACAGGAACCACTAATGGTGTTTAAACAGAAGAGAGACCAAGAGATATTTGTATCTAGAAAGAACCTTAGTGACAGTACAGAGGGTGGGTGGGAAACCAGGGTAAGAGTCATGTGCTTCTGAGCCAGAGGCAAGGATTGTAACAAAGACCAGTCAACAACCTGTTGTGCTGCTTGGGTGCCACTGACTGCATTTCTACTACACGTCCTTGCCTAGTTCCAGTTACTGTGGTTCAGTAGGACACCATCTTGTGGCCCAGGCCTCATCCAGTTATTGAATCCTACTTCCTTCAATCACAGTGACTGGGGATTCAACCAAAGTCAATGAAAAGGCACCTGGTAAAAGTCGTGCTCATCCCTGCTGCTTTTGGATACGAGAAACTATAAGGTCCAGAGTAGCACAGCTGACCAGTAGCCACGGGATTGGTTATTTGAGGAACAAGCTCATATGGAATCCTGCCAGATCTGCAAGCAGGGTATATAGGATCCAGAAAGTCTACATGAAGGATACAGTTAGAATCTTCTCTGCAGGGCAGAGAGAGGGCTGAATTATCCTGAGTCACTGGCATCCCTCTCTCCTCTCTCTCTTCCTCTATGATACAAATGGATGGCTAGAGGTCTACTTGTCTTTTCTTACCATTCAGGTGTAGGATATTACCAGATATGATGCAGGAATGAGCCAAGGTCAGGCCACCATAATGAGCCTGACAGCTTGCTGCAGACAGGGAAAGCCACATCCCTCCTGTTTAAGCTGCTGTTTGTTCCTTAAGGATTGCTGCTTCATGCAGCTGAACCTAATCCTAGCACAGGCCTTTCTTTCTATCACTGGGGTCAGAGCCATAGTGAATTTATTGCCTGGGTTATGAGGGTTTCCCATGTATCCACACATTTCTTTCACACTCCTTTCAGGTACCTATTATCAATTTAATAAAAACTATTAGCCTTGTTATTGCGTCTCATTTGTACAGCCTTTTCACACCTATTATTTGTATTCATGCTCACTCTAGTCCTTTGTGACAGAGTTTTAATTACCATCAGCCCTTCAAGAAAGCAGCCCTCTGATTCACAGCTGTATTCCTAGTTTCCAGCGCATAGCTTGGCTCATCACAGGAGATCAGCAAATCTCTGAAGAGTGGTTGGTTTGAGCTGTGTGACTTGCCCAAGGTCACAAAGTCAGTCTCATGCTTGAGGGCAGATCATCTCTCACTGAATATAGCCTCATTAAAAATAACATTAATGTGAATTATGCAGAACCTCTATCTCAAAATTCTAAAAGTACCATTATAGTCTCCAATTAATTTTCCAGTTTTATCTCTGGTTTCTTTTAAATATTTATCATTAAACACTTCAACTACACAAGATAAAACTGAGAGGTCCACATGCTCTTCTCTCTGCTCCAGTTTGCCCTTTTCAATAAGTCCCAGCACCTTGTAAACTGGTTTCCTGTTTACTGGAGGTGACAGAGACAGTATCTTCCTAACAGTTCCATCACAGTGCCTAGCTCAGTGTTGGTCTTTTAATAGCCACTCAATAAAAATGGGTTGAAGAGGTGAATAAATAAACTTAAAGCTCCAAGTAATATCGCCATTTTAAGGTTCCTTTCAGTCCTTTTCATTATACACTGTGCTTTGAGATTTGTAAACAGGATGCTCTTTTGTGTTCATTTTCATTGAAAAATGTTTCACTCTTACAGAAAAGTATATTAAAGCACATGTATCAGCTTGCTGTGCATATAATACTGCTATCAAGTTGTGGGGGGAGGGGTCCATGTACACGTGGGTGCATGCATGATGCATACAAAGGCCAGTGAAGGACACAGTGCACCCTACTCTATCACTCTCTGCCTTATTTCTTTGTGGCGGGGTCTCTCACTGACCCTGGAGCTAAACTGGTGACCAGTAAGCCCCAATGAGCCTTCCATCTCCTCCCCACACAGCACTGGAGTTACAGGCATGCGTGCAGCCACACCTGGATTCTTATGTGGGTGCTGTAAGATCTGAACTCAGATTCTCAGGCTTACACACCAAGTGCTGCTACCCACTGGACCATCTCTCCAGCTCTATCAAATCATGTTTATACCATTTTAAAGAGGTTACAGAGGGCACGGCAATTATAGCAACAAAGCCAAAACCGAAAAGGGGGTTCCCAAGGCTCTAGGTCTCCAGTTAGTTCATTCCCTGCAACATTAACTTATGTACACACTTAACAGTTTATCTACAGGCCCCTTGCTGACACTGGAAAGCTGAACTGTGAGATGTTTCTGCTTCCTGGAAAGAAAGATCACTTTAAAGAGACAGAAATGCCTGAGTATCAAACAGTCAACTTAATTTTTGATGCATAGCTATGGAATCAACCACTGTTCAGTAGCAGCTTTATTTTGGTTTTAGATTTTTTTTTTTGTACAGCCAGTGGCATTTGCAATGAAGTTGAGCTGAGGGACACCAGGGAGACTAGAAGGACCACAGTGACCTTTTTATTGATCCAGTAGCATCTTATATATTTATTCAATGTAACACTGCTGATGTGGTGTTCAGGGAAGAAATTTCTGAATGCTGATTCATGCTTCTTCCAAAAGAAAGAACTAGAAGGGCATCTAGGGCCTCTCGCTGCTTCCTAAGTAGGAATATTCTACATGTACTACCTAATATTCACTAACACCCCAAACAATCGTGTTTCACACCATAAAGCTTGCCAGCTGCCATCCATTGCAATGATATCACAATTCAGGAGAGAACCACATCCATTACATTGTATACAAGCATCCTCTATCTTACTAACCTTATATAATAACCTTTTATTTTCAAGATGCCTTTTCTCAAACAGTTTTTTTTTTAATCTCTAAATGAGGAGTAAAACCTAGCTATAAAACAAACTACATGTGGCACAATAAAGACAGGGTTTACTCTAAATCACCCCAGAGTCAACGTGAAGCTTGGTGCTCTGTTCATACCTTTAACTCCTCATCCTAGCTCACAAGACTTTTCTCAACCAAAAAAAGTCTCCCTCCAAGGATTCTGAAGAGCGTGTTGGACTGCAAAGGTGATCTAGGAGGGGGATCTAATTCTTCCTATGGGCTGATGTGTGAATGTGTGTGTGAGGAAGCAGGGTCAGGGAGGGAAGAGAGGCAGGGGAGAACGTGAATAGACGGGGAAGGACTCCTCTCCTCCCTGTTTATTACAAGTGCATGGTGCACCTCAAACAAAGGCATAATGTTGCTCACCAGGAAGGAACAGAAGAAGATGAAGGAGACAAAGTAAACGTAGGCCAGATCCGTGCCGCAGCGCTCGTTCTCCGTCTGCCCTGATGGTGCAGTGGTGTCAGGCTCACAGCCTTTCTCCCCAAGACAGGACAGCATAATCTCCTGCCAGGCCTCACCTGTGGCACTCCTGAGCCCAAAACCCATCTGATTAGAAGGAGAAGCCTGTATGTCCCATCCCACCTTCTTATTCAGAGGGCCTTTCTAGTAATTTCCATACAAAGCAGCATGTCAATGAGGCCTTTCATGAGTTCTTTAATCCCACCCATCACTTCATCTGTTGGCAGTGTCTCTACTGATAGTGGTGAGTTAGTGGTGGGACCTCCCCCACTATATAAATCCAGCCATCCGAAGTTTCAGCTCCTACATGAAAATTTGCCTACTAAAAACTATGTGCATCTCCCCTTCCAAAATCATGGAGGACATGCTGAAATTGAAATATGGAAATTAGTTGCTAAGTCAAAGATACTGAAACTTCCTAATGTCCTGGGGAAGCCAGGTAAAGGTATCATCCCCTTCCAATGTGTATCCTGACAGGAGCAGCAGAAATAAGATTAAGAGGTCAAGAGGTCAATCAACTCCTTCCCTCCAGCAGGAGGTCCCCAGCTTGAACAACTGTGCATCCAGGTACCTGAAGAGCAGCATGAGGGACCCAAAGAAACTCCGGAAGTTGTTGTGCCGGTTGATGTGACTCTCCTCATCTAATTTTATGTTTCCAAATACCTTGGGGGGAAAAACAAACAGAAATCAATGGGCAATATTGAGCTGTGTGATACGTCCAGCCTGGATAGGGTAGGTAAAGCTATGTGCACAACTTCCTGATGGCTTATCTCTGAACAGACAACCCAGACTCAGAGATCTGGTAACACCATGTCCTTGGCCTGATAAGGAGGGCTAATTACCTTCCCCACTACTCCAGCACAGCAAAGGGGATGAAGGCTGGCACTGTCCAAGCATAGTATGCACTATACCATCGTTTAAAGTCTTTCTGCCTCTACAAAGTTTCTCCTACTCTACTTTGGTCTTTTATTTCCTTGGTACTCAAGCAGCCTGTGAAAGGTGTTGTGCTATAACAAGATGGCATAGAAGTCTTGTCACCTCTTGATTCCTGTCTCTGTTAATCCTAAAGGGAACATCTATATTGCCAAAGAGGTCACTGACAGTTTGGACAGAAGCTGCTCTGCTATATGCAAGCAGAGGAGATCTGAGAGGGGCAACTCTACCTGCCATAAGTATGTTTTTATCCAAACAGCTAACTTTCAGGAGTTTGTTATATTACTCTACATCTAATAAAAATAAGCACACAGACATCTATATTCATACATAACCATCCAACATTGACCCAAATCATACCAAAAGAGACCCTTCAGGTCAAAGCTAAAGCAAAGTCCAGGCAATAGTATAAAGAAAGGAGAACTGGACCCATGGAAAAAGAGGAAGCAGGGCTGGAGATCTAGCACTAACATACATATGTGAAGCCCTTATTTTGATCCCCAGAATCAAAAGGAAAAGGATGGAAGGAAGGAAGGAGGGAGGGAGGGAGGGAGGGAAGGAGGGAGGGAGGAAGGGAGGAAGGAAGGAAGGGATGGAAAGAAGGAAGGAAGGAGGAAGGGAGGGAGGGAAAGAGAAAGAAAAAAGAGAGAGAGAAAGAAAAGAAAGAAAGAAAGAAAAAAGCAAGAAAGAAAAGAAAGCCAGCAGATCTAGCCATAGAGAGAACTTTGTTAAGTACTTTGGTCACTGCCATTCATATGGCAGAGAGGCAACACTCTGGAATCTTTATTCATAGGCAGCGATAAACTCTGCTATAATAACTCCAAGATCCTTCAATGAGAAAGGTACATTCTCCTCCTCCTGTGCTTCAGAGATCAGGGTTGATCCTTCAAGTCAGTGCTGGTATAACTGAGACATCCTGGGTTACTTTTCTAGCCATCTGAGATGGATTCAGCCTGCATGGAGCATGCTTCAGTTTATCTGACGTATGCTAAATGGAATAGATTTTCCCCCAACAGTTTTGAGAAGGTGCAATTGAGGAACAATCTCTGCCCCCAGCTATTTTGCTCAAGTAACTCCCACTGACACCTGCTTTGGGAATTTGTTCCCAAGACTGTTTATCAAAACCCAAATACTACTTGTCTTCAGGGAGAAGGGAGCTGGTAAGCCAGGCAGCAGAGAGAAGAATGGAAAGAGCGAATGGGAAGAACCCTCCCCCCCAAGAGATTCACAATTTTAGTTTTAAAAATCCCACAGAGGCAATAAAATCTCAATCCTGGGCACTTCATGAAGAGACTGTTGTGTATCCTTGACCTGTTCAAATTTCCTTTTCTCATTCTTTTCACTCTCTTGGTTCAGAATCCATAATTTGTGCTGGGTCCATCACATCTACTCAGTTTACAGGGTATTTTTTTCCTCCCTGTGACACTCATAGAATCATCACTAATTGTTTTTCTTGGATGGGGTGATTGAGAAAATCATAACCATGAACCAATTAGAGGGTACACTGTGATTCTGTACACAGTATATGCATAATACCCAAAGAAACTGTAGCTACTTTGAATATTTTCTAAGATTATTTTCAGGCCCCCAGTGGATATTATAAAAATGGTCCTTAAATTTCTTTTCACTTTTCTCAGGTCTCACTTAGCCTGTTATTACATAAATCTTCTATATCAAATGCTATCAGAGTCTCAGATAGTATTAACCAATTCCTCCACTGTGAGTAAGGGAACTTAAGGCTCAGAGGGACTCAGTGACTTATCCAAGTTCACACAGCTAGAGAGCTGCAGAGCTGAGGCTGATAGCCTCACTTCTAACAGCCCATGGCCACAAGCTCCTTCCCCTAAGTGACAAATTATTCCTTCCTGCAAAGGAATTGTCTTCCAAGGGTGTCTTCTTCAAAAAGCCTTTGAAGGTCCAAAATAATGGTTTGCCTTATTGACACATCTGATTGCTATTTATCTTTCTAAAAGCTTGTCCCTATCCTTTTGCCTTTCTATTTATATAGATCTCTGTTTTGTGGTGACTTCATTGGATACAGTCTCTCTAGTAGCACATTCTGGCCCATGAGTGGCACCATGTCTCTATAATGGACCAAGCTGGGGATGGCCAGCTAAAGGCTAGTCACAGTGGAAATGATATTCATGTCTCTGTGGGATGGAAATAGTATTCTTAGTGTTTAAAAGATGTCTAAAGATAAGCATTACAGTTATGGTAGTTATCACAACTCTATAACCGGACAGTTCCCATCTCCTCCAAAGAGTAAAAAATAAAAATAAAAACCAGCCTTGTACTTGCTTTTCTGGTAGGATGAGAAAAGTTATAGAGTTAAGAACATGGGCTGTGGAGCAGACATAGCCAAGTTTAAATTGGCTCTTCAACTTACTAAGAACTTGGTTAAAAGCTATTTAACATGCAAAGCATCAATAAAGACAATGAAATTTGGTCACTCCTAAATACAGTAATCATATATCTTACCCTCATTCTCCTTTATGTCTGTATGTGTATGTTTACATATAGGCATGTATTAACACCATGCCCAGCACACCAAGAGACAGAAATACAAGCAATGTTATCATCAGTATTAGTATTATCAGTACCAGGTCAGAATTGGACATGGTTTTATTCTACTGTATTTTACTTGAAGACGTTTAAGAGCTATTTTGTCACACAGACTTACCTGCATACAGAATTTAGTGTAATCAAGGTTTCGTTTGACTCTTTGAAAATACTTAAATTCTAGGGTCAAATTTTGGTGAGTTGGGAGGGACCTGATGTAAATGATCAAGCCGGCAATATGCTTCAGTGGGAATTCTATTTTTTTTTTCCATCTTTTTGAGAAAGGGTCTCCCTATAGCCCCAGCTGGCCTGGAACTCACTATGTAGACGAGGCTTGGCTTGAAATCACAGATATCCACCTGCCTCTGCCTCCCGAGTGCTGGGATTAAAGGCATGTGCCACCACGCCCAGTGGAATTCTACTTTTAATACTGCTGTGAACATCATTTAGTGTCTCCTGAAGGATCCTTAGAGAAGGAGAACTACCTCCCAACCAAGTCTCGCTTGTTTTGATGCTTGGCATTCTACTGTATTTTTAGAAAACAATACTTTCCAGTCATAAAGTTAGAGGAAGAATGAAACTAAGAAGCAACAGACAGGAGCAGAAAGATGAGAGACTTCAGAATTCCAGAAAAGGCTGTTGATCAGCAAGCTTGGACGATGGTGTAGGGCTCCAGGTGTCAGACACCACTGAGAAGGCAGCCTTAGTCCAAAGGCAGCCAGACTGCCTGGCTGTAGGAGGTTGTCAGCTGAAGTTCTTTGCTGGGCTTAGTCATGCTACCTCTAAACCAGAAGGTGAGCCCTCCTTAGATAAGCAGAAAGCCTATTTAGCATGTCAAATAAGTCAGGAGTTGTGTGCTCATTGTTTACAGTAGCAGTGCAACCACTACAGATGACTTTTTTCATCTTGTGTGTCATCTTGTCTTTGAAAGAGCATTTGGCCTCTTGGGGATCAGTCATCCTCTAGCTATATGCATAAATATCCAGGGTAAGAACCTGATTTGTTCTAAAGTTCTGAAACTGGAGAGGATGTGGGTAGCCAGGGGAATTGTCCAGTAAGTTGCATTGCCCTGTGAGATAGGAATCAGTTGGAATGTGGCCCTTAGGGTTCCCTAAGATGAGTGGTGGGAGAGCTTAAGGAATAAATATCAGCCAGTGAAGACTTAACACAGTTGCATTCGGTGTCACTACTTACAAGAAGAAGAATAACCATCTAGCCTTCTTTTAGGCCAACTCCAAATACCAGAGATCCTGACAAATGGATCATGAGCCTCTTTTAGTGGCCTTGGAGAATTCTGCTGTCTGAGATCGATGGTACCATTTTCTGTTGTACCCACAGAATCCCTGTTGCTTATAAGTCAGCAGCATGATCGGAGAACCTCAGATGAAGCCCTCCAAACAGACTCCCTTGAATACCTGGAGAACCACCCCACACATGAAATTCCCAAGGTCACACTGCAACAAAATCTTGAGAGAGGACCCTTAGGCAAGTAGCATTGTACAAAGCATCTTCAATCCTACCAGAGACAACCTGAGCCACAGCTGTCCCCACCAGTCCCCAATGTGCCCACTCACCTGCATCCCAATGATGGCATAAATGAAGAAAAGCATGGCAATCAGCAGGCAAACATAGGGCAGGGCCTGTGAGGAAAACAAAAGATGATAATTAAGGAGATCACTCCCATGATGCTCAACAACCTGTAGTCACTGGCAGGACAGGGACTCGTACCCTTAGGCTAATTCAACAGGACTGACACTCTGCTTCATAGGGCTGTTCTGTTTTGAGTGCATTTTAAAAAATATGCCCAAGTCCTTTGACATATGTAAACAGTTGGCCATATAGAGGCTTATTATTTACCTTCTGTGAAGAATTCTTCCCTCATCCAAAACTATAGCACCTATCTCCAAGAGGGCGTTAGCAAAACTAACTGGATCTGAAAGACAGTTCACTTGGCAAGCAGAAGATGAACAGTCTGAGCAATTGTGATGCAAATTAAAGAGGAAGCACCTAGCTTTGGCTTCCAGATCCTTCTATGTTGCCCTCCCACTCCCACACCCCCACATAATGGAGAATCTGGAAGCAAAGTAAAAAGACTGTGGTCTTACTTGCCCATTCCTAGCATTATCTTTGATCTTCTGATGAAACACTTGTTCCCAGCTTAAGCCTCTCAACATTTCATTATGTTTCACAAAAATTTCTCCAAAGCCTGCTAAGTGTTAGGCACTATGAAACTGTAATGAAGCCATGTGGCAAAAAACATCCATATTGTATATGCCTACTGCCACTTAGGGATGACTGCATTTCAGTGTGGGGAGATGGGGGGCAAGTGAAGGTGATAGAGGGCAAGAACCTGCCCTTCACAGCCAAGGGCAGAGGCAGATGCAGGACAGTTGGGATTTGGGGCAGGGCAGGATGGTCCATTATACTTGTGCAGTGATCTCAGTACTGATGAAATTCCCTCATCTTTGTCATCCAGTAAGCTCCCTGGCAGCCACTGCCACTGTGAGTCTCTGCCCTGGCATGAATGTACATACCATGAGTCCCTGGAGACCAACCAAAGGCTTTCAGATGGCTGGAGCAGGGCAGAGCTTATCTACAGGGTTAACATAATGAAGAGCCCTGGGAGACTATTTACAACTGGAATAGAGGACAAATTAAAATGCATCTGAAAGCTTAAGAGAGGCCCCTCTTCAATGGAAGTGATGATTCTAAGATCTAAGGAAAGGCATGGCTGTATTTCCAGGGACCTGGGAAGACTGCTAAATGCTAAGGAAGCAGGGTTGCCTGCTACCTGGACTGGAGTGTTGCTGGCTCTATTCTTAAGGCCTGCCCTTGTTCCAATCCTCCCAGCTTTAGGAAGAAGACCAAAGATTCCATCTGTTCTCCTTTCTTGGCTTATCATATATTCTATCACAAAATAAGATAAAAGAGGGAAGAAATTCTGAACAAAGGTCAGAAATGAAAAACTAGAATAAGCTCGAGACTGGCTCCCACTAGGTATAGGAAATGATGATGATGTTTATATTAGGACAGTTCTTTGCTTTTCATAAACTGCTTTTGTTAATCTTTCTTAATTTCTTTGTTTAGAAATCAGCTTATCATATATTCTATCACAAAATAAGATAAAAGAGGGAAGAAATTCTGAACAAAGGTCAGAAATGAAAAACTAGAATAAGCTCGAGACTGGCTCCCACTAGGTATAGGAAATGATGATGATGTTTATATTAGGACAGTTCTTTGCTTTTCATAAACTGCTTTTGTTAATCTTTCTTAATTTCTTTGTTTAGAAATCAGCCT